CTTTAAAATACAAGAAAGAGAGAAAAACAGAAACAATACAGGTAAATAAATCAATTTTAAAATAATCCAAACGTTAACCCAAAACAAAACAGTATTAAAGGAAAACAAACAGAATATTATATCGTTTAGGAGTTTGTAGAAAATCTTATTTATTCAGATTTATACATATTTTCGTTTTTTTCTTCAAATATACCTACATTTAAAAGCATACTTTTTAATATAATTAAATATTTACATTAAAAAACTCATTAATATTATATTTTAAATATAAACCAAAACATTTTGTTTTATCAGTTTATGACTAAAACTTTTTTCATTATAAGGTAAGCAACAGCTAAAACTTTTCAAAATTCATATAATTAAAGCTATTCTAGTATTTTTAGCAAAACATTTTTAAAATATCTCTTAGCTATTTAAAGCAATTTTTTAATATTTTTTAAAATCTAAAATAAATCTTCTAAAAACAGCTTTTGGTTTGAAACTTGTAAGAAAAGAATAAGAAAAAAGTTTGTTTTAAATTTAAATATTCCTTATTATCTTTTTAAAAACTTATACCGAAAGTCTGTTGTTTTCACGCTTCTTAACTTGTGTTTTAGCATTTTCCGTTAACATGGTTTTAAGTATTATGTGGTACGTGTTTAATTTGTTTCTGTTGATGTTTTAGTAAATGCATTTATAGCTATTTTTTTGCCTTTGTGTGTTAACAAACACATTGTTTTTAAGACATGTGTTGAAATATAATTGAAATTAGCAAATGTATTTGATATGTCTTGCAATATTAAACCTAATAAATTAGACTTATTTAAATTTAATTACAAGCTTAAATAAAATATCTAAGAAGAAAACAAATAAGAACTTATAGTCGGGCGAGGCCGACCATATAATACCCTACACCTTTGACAAAAATATTATGTGATTTAGTTGCCATAATAAAGCATTTAAGTTGAAATGTACCTTGCCTTAGATATACATACTTAAGCCGTTTATTGTTGAATAAAATTGTAGACATTTAAGTGAAATTTTGATGGGGGCTTTTCATAGGGGCTAGGGTCATATGAGAACCTATTATTACGAAATTCGTGGGGGTCATCAAGTCTTGTATACAACTTGGTTATTGCAGCTTTTTGTCGAGATATGAGTATATTAAACATAATTATTCGGCTTGTTCAGTTGTATGGGGGCTAGGTGAAATAATGGACCGATGTAAACCATTTTCAACAGGCTTCATCTACGGTACCATAAAAGATCATGTACCAAATTTCATTGAATCATCTCCAAAATTGCGCTCTGTAGTTTGATTACAAGTTTTAAAAGCCCTATTCGGGGGTTCAGTTGTATGGGGGCTAGGTGAAATAATGGTAACCATTTTCAATAGGCTTCGTCTACGGTACCATAAAAGATCATGTGCCAAATTTCATTGAATTATCTCCAAAATTGTGACCTGTAGTTTGATTACAAGTTTTAAATGCCCTATTCGGGGGTTCAGTTGTATGGGGGCTAGGTGAAATAAAGGACCGCTGTTAACCATTTTCAATAGGCTTCGTCCCTGGGACAATAGAAGATCATGTACTAAATTTCATTGAATTATCTTCAAAACTGCGACCTGTAGTTTGATTACAAGGTTTACATGGACGGACGGACGGACAGACGGACAGACGGACAGACGGACGGACAGACAGAGGAACAGACAAACGGACATAGCTAAATCGACTCAAGAAATGATTTAGTTAGTTAGTTAGTTAGTTAGTTAGTGAGTTAGTTAGTTAGTTAGTTAGTTAGTTAGTTAGTTAGTTAGTTAGTTAGTTAGTTAGTTAGTTAGTTAGTTAGTTAGTTAGTTAGTAGTTAGTTAGTTAGTTAGTTAGTAGTTAGTTAGTTAGTTAGTTAGTTAGTTAGTTAGTTAGTTAGTTAGTTAGTTAGTTAGTTAGTTAGTTAGTTAGTTAGTTAGTTAGTTAGTTAGTTAGTTAGTTAGTTAGTAGTAGTTAGTTAGTTAGTTAGTTAGTTAGTTAGTTAGTTAGTAGTTAGTTAGTTAGTTAGTTAGTTAGTTAGTTAGTTAGTTAGTTAGTTAGTTAGTTAGTTAGTTAGTTAGTTAGTTAGTTAGTTAGTTAGTTAGTTAGTTAGTTAGTTAGTTAGTTAGTTAGTAGTTAGTTAGTTAGTTAGTTAGTTAGTTAGTTAGTTAGTTAGTAGTAGTTAGTTAGTTTAGTTAGTTAGTTAGTTAGTTAGTTAGTTAGTTAGTTAGTTAGTTAGCTTAGTTAGTAGTTAGTTAGTTAGTTAGTTAGTTAGTTAGTTAGTTAGTTAGTTCGTTAGTTCGTTAGTTCGTTAGTTCGTTAGTTCGTTAGTTAGTTAGTTAGTTAGTTAGTTAGTTAGTTAGTTAGTTAGTTAGTTAGTTAGTTAGTTAGTTAGTTAGTTAGTTAGTTAGTTAGTAGTTAGTTAGTTAGTTAGTTAGTTAGTTAGTTAGTTAGTTAGTTAGTTAGTTAGTTAGTTAGTTAGTAGTTAGTTAGTAGTTAGTTAGTTAGTTAGTAGTTAGTTAGTTAGTAGTTAGTTAGTTGTTAGTTAGTTAGTTAGTTAGTTAGTTAGTTAGTTAGTTAGTTAGTATTAGTTAGTTAGTTAGTTAGTTAGTTAGTTAGTTAGTTAGTTAGTTAGTTAGTTAGTTAGTTAGTTAGTTAGTTAGTTAGTTAGTTAGTTAGTTAGTTAGTTAGTTAGTTAGTTAGTTAGTTAGTTAGTTAGTTAGTTAGTTAGTTAGTTAGTTAGTTAGTTAGTTAGTTAGTTAGTTAGTTAGTTAGTAGTTAGTTAGTTAGTTAGTAGTTAGTTAGTTAGTTAGTTAGTTAGTTAGTTAGTTAGTTAGTTAGTTAGTTAGTTAGTTAGTTAGTTAGTTAGTTAGTTAGTTAGTAGTTAGTAGTTAGTAGTTAGTTAGTTAGTTAGTTAGTTAGTTCGTTAGTTAGTTAGTTAGTTCGTTAGTTAGTTAGTTAGTTAGTTAGTTAGTTAGTTAGTTAGTTAGTTAGTTAGTTAGTTAGTTAGTTAGTTAGTTAGTTTAGTTAGTTAGTTAGTTAGTTAGTAGTTAGTTAGTTAGTTAGTTAGTTAGTTAGTTAGTTAGTTAGTTAGTTAGTTAGTTAGTTAGTTAGTAGTTAGTTAGTTAGTTAGTTAGTTAGTTAGTAGTTAGTTAGTTAGTTAGTTAGTTAGTTAGTAGTTAGTTAGTTAGTTAGTAGTTAGTTAGTTAGTCGTTAGTTAGTTAGTTAGTTAGTTAGTTAGTTAGTAGTAGTTAGTTAGTTAGTTAGTAGTTAGTTAGTAGTTAGTTAGTTAGTTAGTTAGTTAGTTAGTTAGTTAGTAGTTAGTAGTTAGTTAGTAGTAGTAGTTAGTTAGTTAGTTAGTAGTTAGTTAGTTAGTTAGTTAGTTAGTTCGTTAGTTAGTTAGTAGTTAGTAGTAGTTAGTTAGTTAGTTAGTTAGTTAGTTAGTAGTTAGTTAGTTAGTTAGTTAGTTAGTTAGTTAGTTAGTTAGTTAGTTAGTTAGTTAGTTAGTAGTTAGTTAGTTAGTTAGTTAGTGTAGTTAGTTAGTTAGTTAGTTAGTTAGTTAGTTAGTTAGTTAGTTAGTTAGTTAGTAGTTAGTGTTAGTAGTTAGTTAGTTAGTTAGTTAGTTAGTTAGTTAGTAGTTAGTTAGTTAGTTAGTTAGTTAGTTAGTTAGTTAGTTAGTTAGTTAGTTAGTAGTTAGTTAGTTAGTTAGTTAGTAGTTAGTTAGTTAGTTAGTTAGTTAGTTAGTTAGTTAGTTAGTTAGTTAGTTAGTTAGTTAGTTAGTAGTTAGTTAGTTAGTTAGTTAGTTAGTTAGTTAGTTAGTTAGTTAGTTAGTTAGTTAGTTAGTTAGTTGTTAGTTAGTTAGTTAGTTAGTTAGTTAGTTAGTTAGTTAGTTAGTTAGTTAGTTAGTTAGTTAGTTAGTTAGTTAGTTAGTTAGTTAGTTAGTTAGTTAGTTAGTTAGTTAGTTAGTTAGTTAGTTAGTAGTTAGTTAGTTAGTTAGTTAGTTAGTTAGTTAGTTAGTTAGTTAGTTAGTTAGTTAGTAGTTAGTTAGTTAGTTAGTTAGTTAGTTAGTTAGTTAGTTAGTTAGTTAGTTAGTAGTTAGTTAGTTAGTTAGTTAGTAGTTAGTTAGTTAGTTAGTTAGTTAGTTAGTTAGTTAGTTAGTTAGTTAGTTAGTTAGTTAGTGTTAGTTAGTTAGTTAGTTAGTTAGTTAGTTAGTTAGTTTAGTTAGTTAGTTAGTTAGTTAGTTAGTTAGTTAGTTAGTTAGTTAGTTAGTTAGTTAGTTAGTTAGTTAGTTAGTTAGTTAGTAGTAGTTAGTTAGTTAGTAGTTAGTAGTTAGTTAGTTAGTTAGTTAGTTAGTTAGTTAGTTAGTTAGTAGTTAGTTAGTTAGTTAGTTAGTTAGTTAGTAGTTAGTTAGTTAGTTAGTAGTTAGTTAGTTAGTTAGTTAGTTAGTTAGTTAGTTAGTTAGTTAGTAGTAGTTAGTTAGTTAGTTAGTTAGTTAGTTAGTTAGTTAGTTAGTTTTATCAAAATGACTTAAAACACATGTTTTAATTCCTTTCCAAATGCAAAAGAAATCTAAAGAGAATTAACTCGAACATGATTAAAAATTTACTTACCAACGAAATAATTCGCTTTCCGGATTTTCAGCTGCCATTCGTGCTTTCTTTCTCAACAATGGTATTGTTAGAGCGAAAGTATATAAAATGCCGCCAGCGAATCGAAAGCAAACAAGTTAGAGTGCTATATTCGGCTGAGCCGAATCTTAAATACCCTCCACCAGCAACTTTTGTATTAATACATTTCTAATTAATAAAATATTTGTAGAAATAAGTTTTCTCGTGTCTTAACTAGAAAAATCCCAAGATTTAAACAGCTTAAATCTACTACAATTCCAAGATTTATTGAACATTAGAAACGCCACTTTCATTTAAATTTTTATAGCGCCCTAAGATATGCTTTAGCGATATCTCGTATTTGCATGTATGCATGTGTGTGAAAGAT